TCTAATATCGCCATTCACTGAAGTTATTATGGCAGACTGTTTAGACGAAAAAATAAGCATATAGCATATATTGTCATATTTTATATAAGTGCATTTGAAGGGCTATCCTTGTCGTCTCCGTAGCCTCATACTTTTTCATACTTCACACTACCTCGAAAGGCCTAACACATGTTCTGGCGAAGAAAAGAGTGAATCCGAATGTATAATACATGAAGTGTTTCACTGTTTTTGCAGGCAACGACGATGTATCGGTAGCAGTTGCACAAGCACAGCAGTAGTAACGAAAGTAATACGTACGGAGACATATGTGCAGCCTATGTCATATCCATCATGCAGGCCACGATGCCGGCGAAGAAGACCTCGTCCACCACCTCTTCCACCACCCCCGCCACCCCCTCCGCCTCCACCTCCTACTATACAAATATGTGTTCCACCTTGCTCTTCTTCTATGGGTGGCATGATGCCTTCAATGCCTCCTCCAATGCCTCCCCCAATGCCTCCCCCAATGCCCCCTCCAATGCCCCCTCCAATGCCTTCTATGCCTTCTATGGTTTGCTGCTGTGGAATGGTTTGTTAGAGAGCGAACAATTTATCACTGCAATCTTTACACTCTCCAGCGTTTGTTCCATTTCTCCCGATTAAACACAAATATGGACCATTAATAAGAGATAAACAGTAATAAATTTTTATTACTTGTATTTTCTTAAAGAATTGAAACGACAAGCATAGATTCAGAGCCATAAATTGCTGATTTGTTTGAGATTTTTGGAAAGGCGTTGGTCTTCTTTAAGATAAGTACAAAATGTGATTCAAGGACAGGCTTGAGACAAATTTGTTCTGCCACATTTTCAGCTCTTTGTGTAGAGTCAACAAGGACTTTGTATATGAGTATGTGAGAGGATCTAAATGTATTCAAATACCATAGAATAACGAAAGTACGTCATATCCGTGGGTCGCGCTCACTGAAAGAGTGACCTAGTATTTTCAATCAAAAAGCTTTTCCCAGACCTCGGTGGCATGTCTCCG